ACCGGGTATGTAACAGCTTCTTCACTTCCTTTTATGAAATTTTTAATATAAAGAATCGGATATGACCGAGTCGCAATTGATTGGTTCGGTCGTAAGTTGGATATATATGGAACCAATGGTTCCATTTCTAAAATTTAAATTGGTAATCGATTCGGTTCGATTCCATTCATAACCATACCAAACCAGACCACGCCCACTCCTACCATTTTTTTCAAAATAATGGCCATCGAATATGGGCACAATTGAAAATAAGTTTTAAAAAATGGGAGACAAATAAGGACAATATATGTTAAACTAAATCTCTATTTAGTAGAGATTGTTTTTAGAATAGATTTTATGAAAAGTAAAAATATGAAAATTTTATGGATTCAAATGTAAAATTATTTTATTGAGAGAATGTTTGAAATATTTTTTGGAAAATAAAGAATATTGTAATGATTTGACTTGTGTGTCCAATTCGTAATTCGTTACGTATTGTTCCCTTGGAAAGATCATTTGCCTTTTAATACCTCACAAATTTTCATCACACCTCCAAAATTTGATAAAAAGTCATAAGGTATAAGATGACTAGTACTCTCCCAAAAAAAATAGTATGTAATGAGTTAACGATTTAGTCACAGAAGTCAGGTCATTAGTCAGTGGCATCAAAATTTAGCTTAAGTACATAATAAGATAGTGATCTTAAATTCGAATTTTGGGGGACGAGAAATAAAGTTGTAAGGGTAAGAGGACATGTGCTTTTTCAAAATGGATTTTGTATGGTATGAATAAAACCACGAATTTTGTAGACATTCTTTGAAAAAAAGTTTTATCAATTCATCGAAATTATTAATTTACACAATCGAACCAAGTGAGGACTCAAAAATTACTATATAATGGAGGTTATTAGTTTATAGATAATGGATTTATAGAGGTCATATTTGTATATTTGCCTGCGAATAGAAATTCAATAAAAAATTCAAAAGGAAATTCTTATTGGCAAGATGAATGGATAATATTGGCAAGTACCTGATTCTAGAACTAGTCATTATTTTAATTTTATTTATACTTGTCATTTCTAATTCTTTTCTTTATTTAGATTTAGTTGTTAGTTAGAAATTTGGTCATTATTCAAATTTATTTATTACCCTTTTTTGATTTTCATTTTTTTTTTCAAAATATATTTCTCTCTCTTTTTCTCAACCACATATTTTTCAATAAAATAATATTACACGTAAATCGAAATTTTTTTCTTATTTTTTAACCAAACATCTTTATTAATTTACTATTCCAAAATATGTTATTAACCTTTTAGTGGGGCTCAAACAGGTTCATTGTTTTAAATACGAGTTGTAAGACTTGAGACGGTCAATTTATCTTAATTACTCCTCCGTCCCAATTATATAGGTTGAGTTTTCTTTTTCTCTTATCCCAAATATATAGGCATGATTCCTGATGTAGAATTTTTTGTTGTGTTCATTTACCAATATACCTTTATTAAATTTTCCCCACTTAAT